AACTGGAGAAGAAAATCGAATATAGTATTAACTAAATGGATTCAATTTAAAATTTGAATATGAACGATTTTTGAAAATTTTCAGTTACATGTTTGTCGGAGAAGGAAACATCGTAATAGGAAAAATCTTTGCCAGATTTGTAGGTGTTGCCGAATTTGAAGGCACTTTGGAGGAGTCAATTGCTGTCATTTATGAAAGGGTTTCCTTAAACGCAGTGTTTTAAAACCCGGCCCGGCCCGGCGGGTTGACCTGGTGAATCNTCGTAATAGGAAAAATCTTTGCCAGATTTGTAGGTGTTGCCGAATTTGAAGGCACTGGTTGTTGGAGGAGTCAATTGCTGTCATTTGTGAAAGGGTTTCCTTAAACGCAGTGTTTTAAAACCCGGCCCGGCGGGTTGACCCGGTGAACAGGTCCCATAACCGGGCCGGTTTTGTAATTGGACCGTTTGAGCAAAGAACCCGGAATAAAATCGATAAACCGGTCAAAACTGNTAGACCCCAGTCGTCAATGTCTGTTAGTATATCTATTAATAAATTATATTCAGATCCCCTAAAGTTTGTAAGTGTGTAACACTTAGACCCTTAAGTTTAAAATATTATACTTAGACCCATTATTAGTTACAAATCTAACGANTTCTTTTCCCCTTCTGTTTTGCCCTAAATCTTAAATCATTCGTTCAGTGTTTGTTAGCTCAAAAATTAAGTGAATACAATTAAGTGATTCAAGTTTGAGGGTGGAGGTTGGGCTGTTAATTGAATGCATTGATTTATTAATTGAATGCAATTAAGTGATTCAGGCTTGATAACTTTGTTTGATTTAATATATATTAAACATGTTATTTTTATAACTATTTTAATTTTTTAGTCTATTTATCATCATTAATAATTATTTTTTATTTTTTTATTATATCACCGGTTCGACCAGTGACCCAGTGGTTGAATCAGAAATTTANAATAATTATTTTTTATTTTTTTATTATATCACCGGTTCGACCAGTGACCCAGTGGTTGAACCAAAAATCCATTGACCCGGTCCCTTCTCTGNAATCAGAAATTTATTGACCCGGTCCCTTCTCTGGGTTGGTGTCCGGGCCGGGTTTTAAAACTATGCTTAAACGTCGTCTACTTCACTTCTAAAGGAAAATGACAGTTTGGTAAAATTGATAAAAAAAAATAGACTTCATAATAAATAAATTTTCTTGCAGAATTTATCTACAAATAAATACATATAGAAAAATCGGGTTCAAAATTTCNATATAATATTTTAAACTTGAGGGGTTTGCATATAATTTATTAATGAATATACTAACAAACATTGACAGCAAGAGTCTAAATAATACGTGCGTACAAATTTTAAGAGATCTATATGTAATATTTCAAATGTCAAGAGATTTAAGTGATTAAGTGATAAATTTCAATGAGTCTAAATGTAATTCTCCAAAAAATAAAATAACAAGACTTTCCGTCACTATTTTACTTAATGATTGATTACCTTCTATTAATTCAAGTGAGATCCACCATTTGTAAATGGGTCCGCACTCATGCATAATTAGTGATATATCATTGAATAAATGAAAAAAACAAAAATTGGGGTGGAGTAATCCTAGGTAAACTTATAATCATTTGAGTTCGTCAAGAAAATTTTTTTGGGATAAATCTGATTTTACTCTTATTAGTAAGTAGTTAAATTAATTTTTTTTTTAATCTCAAAAATACCTCTAACAGTGTTAGTTTTGGTCAATTATGAAAAGCTAAAGATATTAGTTGCATAAAGATATATATGAAAATCGGTGATTGAATATATGAATGTTTGATTTACGACGGTAGATTACAAGCTTTCGTTAATAATTCAAATTTAAATTCTTAGTCATTATTTATTCTGTTATACATTTGAATAACATGTTTTTAAGTTTTTGGGAGTGTTTTAAAGGTGATAAAAGTTGAAGCTGGAGTTCGATGTTTTTTGCAGTCGAAGTAAAGAGCATGAGTTTGAGTTCGACTTACTATTTATTAGAGTTTGGGATAATCTTGACTTCATATGTTGGAACAATTTTTTATTCAAATTGCTTGAGATATTCACTGCAAATGACTGTTTTATCTACTACGAATAATAGTGTTACATTTGCGATTGTTGGAATTTCAATGGTACTTTCCAGAGTTTCTATTGCTACGAACTTTACGATCCTCTTAAAGTTCGAAATTTTGGGAGTAATTTGAAAGTAATGAAGGTTGAAGTTGGAATTCGAGATTTTGCAATCGGACTATGAGTCTAATTTCGAGATTTTAAAGTTGGACTACGATTTCGAGTTATTATTTGTTTGGCGTTTCTCATGTTACTGATTGGGAATATCACAACCATCTAGTATGATAAGTTATCGATCTAATAATTATCTCTCATGAACCAAATTTGAGTCATATTACTATTAATGTTACTGTATATGTTACTATTAATGTTACTGTTGGTATTACTATTTATGTACTAATACAAACAGTAACCAATCATGCAACAATATTACAAACTCACTGAAAAATGTAAAATTAAAATAGATTTTCTTAAATAGGAACAAATTTAAGTCATGTTACTGTTCATGTTACTTTTTGCACTGATAATCTGGATAGAGTTTTTTCTGTTTTTCAAACAAATATATACAAATAATACTCAACCCTGCTTATAACAACATATCACTCTTACATATAACACCATATCAGCCTTCTAAAATCAAATGATTCACTAAATTAGAACATATTTGATCATGTTAGTATTTTAGTTATTATTTCATCACAGTAACATCAACCTTTTTCCACAATAACAAAACGAAGAAATTTTCGATTGTTTTTCCCAATAAATGATCCACAAATGGGAAAATGACATCATTTAATTTAGTAACACTAAATTGCACATTGAAATTAGGTAAACAAAAATCAATGAAAAATTTAAAAATTAGAATATGTAGAAGATGTTCTAAAACTCTAGAATAAACAACAATTTCTTCAATAGATTCCACAGCAAATTGGAGAAGAAAATCGAATATAGTATTTTCTAAATAGATTCAATTTAAAATTTGAATTTGAACGATTTTTGAAAATTTTCAGTTACATGTTTGTCGGAGAAGGAAACATCGTAATAGGAAAAATCTTTGCCAGATTTGTAGGTGTTGCCGAATTTGAAGGCACTTTGGAGGAGTCAATTGCTGTCATTTATGAAAGGGTTTCCTTAAACGCAGTGTTTTAAAACCCGGCCCGGCCCGGCGGGTTGACCTGGTGAATCGGGCCGATTTTGTAATTGGACCGTTTGAGCAAAGAACCCGGAATAAAACCGGTGAACCGGTCAAAACCGGCCGGTTTTGTTCCTTTAGTATAAATATATTTTTTTTTTACATTTTTGTGTCTTTTTCTTTTCCCCTTCTGTTTTGCCCTAAATCTTAAATCATTCGTTCAGTGTTTGTTAGCTCAAAAATTAAGTGATTCAAGTTTGAGGGTGGAGGTTGGACTGTTAATTGAATGCATTGATTTATTAATTGAATGCAATTAAGTGATTCAGGCTTGATAACTTTGTTTGATTTAATATATATTAAACATGTTATTTTTATAACTATTTTAATTTTTTAGTCTATTTATCATCATTAATAATTATTTTTTATTTTTTTATTATATCACCGGTTCGACCAGTGACCCAGTGGTTGAACCAAAAATCCATTGACCCGGTCCCTTCTCTGGGTTGGTGTCCGGGCCGGGTTTTAAAACTATGCTTAAACGTCGTCTACTTCACTTCTAAAGGAAAATGACAGTTTGGTAAAATTGATAAAAAAAAAAAAATAGACTTCATAATAAATAAATTTTCTTGCAGAATTTATCTCCAAATAAATACATACAGAAAAATCGGGTTCAAAATTTCCCATTAAAACATCTCAACCCTCATTGGACAAGGGAAGGAAAATCAGCCCAGTGCTTTAAGATCTGACCAGACACAAGGCTTGGGCCAGAAAAAATGCATCAGGTCTAGGCCTGAGCCAGTGCTTTCAATGGGCAATATTTGGGCCCATCTGTTCACAACTCCTTAGCCAGTGCAAAATTGTCAATATTTTGGCCCAACATTGATTACAAAGCTCCCCACTAGCTCTGTATGTCAATGGACCGGACTTGGGATTGAATTTTAACTGATTAAATTCCGATTTTAAAAGTTTCATTTGATTATTTAACGGATTTTATTTTTGTGGTCTATATTTGAATAACACTCCAAAAAATAACTCAAAATTTCGATCTTAATAATTAAAATTTAACAAATTACGACTAAATTTCTGCAAATAATAACTTAATTTTTTTCATATTTATATAGAAATATATAAATATTTCAGATGTGATCATAATCGAAATGAATATGTGAATATATCCAAATTCGATTCCGTAAAGTATAAGATAACGGATTCAGATTATCGATAAAAAATATCAATTCATATCAGACTAATCGAATTTAGATCAAAATTTGATCCATTGGTATGTCTACTCCAAAAATAGGTCAGTCAGAGCCGCTGGCCACGGCTGATGATATGGGCCCTCTGGGATCTTAGATGTACAAAGAGCTATGAAATTTGAAGAGAGAGAGAGAGAGAGTCATGTACGCCAAACTTTTTTACGAGACTTATAGTTGTAGTTTACACGAAACACATGACTTGGTGCAAGCCAATGTATTGAACCCCGATAAAATCTGTAACCAATTTTTGATGAGTCGGAGATTAAGATGTAGTTTTGTCAAATTTGACGATGAAGTTGGATGGAAGAACCACATTGACACAAACGTTATAACTCAGAAGCTAAATTGAGACAAAACGTAATTCAACAACTTGATTAACACACATAGTATAATTCAAGTGCTAAATAGATATTTAACTCTTATTATGAACCAGTCAGTCATACAAAGACAAATATACAACCAGGCTGCTTAAAACAATTGCTATTCTTTGGTACTTTCTCATACAAATGTTCTCACAAGATAAGCAAATGANTATGAACCAGTCAGTCATACAAAGACAAATATACAACCAGGCTGCTTAAAACAATTACTATTCTTTGGTACTTTCTCATACAAATGTTCTCACAAGATAAGCAAATGAAGGGAAACACTTACACTCATTTTAATCTCATTCATAAATTACAAACTTCTCCATGGGTCGCTTGCATTGTTCACAGACTACAGTTCCTTCCATCAATCTTTCATCATATGAAACTACATTAGAGTAATTGCAACGCGTAGCCGGAAGAGGAGGTTCAAGGGCAGCTCTTATTGCAGCCATTAATCCCACCTTCCCCACATTTTCCCCCCACACCGGGAAAAGATCAAAGTATTCCATGATTTTCTTCCCCTGAAGTTTCACTAAACCTGTTGCAGACCCCCTCCCAATTACTACCCAGTCTTTCTCAATCTTATCACTGTCTAGTATTTCTGAAACTTCCTCTAAAATCCTCTGAGTATGAACTGTTTGTTCTTGGCGGACAATTGATTTTTTCATACTATCTAACCTTATCCAAAAGAAATTCATCTTGATCAAAGTAAGGGAACTACCTAGCTTTTCGTCGTCAATGATGGCTAAAATTTTCTGAACATGTTCACTTTGATTCCTCGTACCAACATAGATCATGTCAAGCTGCATTCCTGTGCTTTTAATTTCCTTCACTTTAGAACTGAATTCTCTGATCCAATCCAGACTGGAACTGCTGAAAATGCAGAGGTTTTTTCCTTCTTCCACCTGACAGAAATGTGATGATAGTAACGATGAAAAATAAAACAAAATGTAAAATAACAAATCTTCCTTGAGTGCGCAAGTGACACTTCAACTCTAGTATGCAGTTAAACAGTGGATTGGAAGAAGATTTTTCTCCTTTGGGTGCCATCTTAGCTGAAATCAAGAATGAGTTGCAGAAATTTTGGTATTCTGAAGCGCTAATGGTCCGTAGATCCAGGAATATAGTAGCATGTCACCTAGTAAGGCATGCTAAATTTGTTTGAAATATTGATATATGGAAGGAGGAGGCACTCAATTATAGAATCAAGGAAGAGTCAAGAAATCTCAGAGAAGAAGAAGACAGAAAACATAATAAGAAACATATCTTCCATTCTATTTCATTTGCAAAGATTACAAGCGTATATATAGGACAAGCTATACCTCATCATACAACAGTGTAGCTGAGTTCTAGCTCAGCATTTCTATAATCTAGATTATAGAAGTTAGTTAATAATTCTGTTAGGTTGTTAAGTCTGTTATGACTCGATCATTATGCCTTTTCTCCTGTAAGATATTCCCTCTTAATAAAATTCCACCGTTTCTATAAAAAAATATGTACATAAGAGGATCTTACCCACTTAGTCAATAGAGTGTCGATTCCATCAACCATAAATTGTAGTGTCCAATTCTCTGTTTCCCATAGCTTCTTTTCTCTTGAAGCTGAAAAGGGGAAGGCCTTCGCTCCCCAGATCAACATCATATCAATGGCATTTGAGTTGGTAACCATACCTCGAACATCCCAAACTACCATTAAGGGCTCCTCTTTGTAGTTCAACTCTTCTTTGATGAACTTCACCACTACTGAGTTAAGTAACCACGGTCGCCGAATTGATAAACATGGCAAGGAGTTGGCATAAAAATCAAAACTTCTTTCTTCAGCAAAATTCCATGTATCAGAAGACGGAATTGGAACCCATAAAATTTCATAGCTTCCCCCCAAGTTCTTATGATCAGGATGATCATAAGTCTGTTGCACCAGCAAGAGTATTCCGTCTATGGAGAGTAGCTCTGGCTTTGAGATCAGGAGAAGGACTACCTTACTTTTCAGTTCAGATATGCCTAGCTGTTTGTAACAACCAGCATGATAGTCAGATAATTGACATAAAAGGTTCTTTTTTTCCAGCAAAGGTCTATATGAGTTTTTCTTTGCTTAAGAAAAAAATAAAGTATGAAGATAAAGAGAAAATCAAACATCGATAGAGAGAAAAAAGTGAGTCTCGAAGGTGAGAGCAACAAATGCATACCATCCAGATAATTACTGACTGGAGGAGGACCAGTCGATCCTTATTAACCACACCTACCACTTCCACCTAGTCGATGTAGGACAAAACCAAATGAGGGGTTCTCTATAAAGGATAACTTTTCTTTGCTTAAGGAAATTAGGAGGTAAGGGGAAATCAAGTATAGGCAAAGAGGACGGAAAATTGGTCTCAAAAACGAAACTCACAAATCCACACCATCCATGCAATTTCTATAGAACTATTGAACCTTATTAACCACCCATCCCATTCTCGCCTAGCTGATGTGGGACAAAGCCAATAGGGAAGGTTTATATTTGCTGCAGGATTGAAGCTGGCATAGCTATTTAAGCCCCTGCCAACTATTCATCGACAAATACATTGATACAAACTTTTCTCCACATTTTAAGAACAAACTACCTTTGTTTGTGAGGAACAATTCCTAAATGGCAATTCATCCTTCAAAGCAAATAACGTATGAAGAACCTCTTGATTGTCAGCATGGGTCTCCTTGAAGAGATTCAGTAGCTTCTTATACCACCCTTTCTCTACATGAACACAACTGGGCTTCAAAATCAAATGTTATACATATTTACCTAGAGGAAGGCATTTTAGTCGAAAGCTTCCAAAGTTTTTTGTAAAATAGTAACCTATCTGTTGATGGCACAGATCCACCTGCTCTCTGAGGTTTCTGCATAATCCCCTTAACTTATATGCTAAACTTAAGAGTTCCAATGCAGCAATGGGTGTTGATTTAGAATACCTGAAGACAGAGGGAGTTCATACATTACTAACACATATTGAAATTCATCCTGAATCCTTGAAACTTGAAACAGACTAAACTGANAGGAAATTAGGAGGTAAGGGGAAATCAAGTATAGGCAAAGAGGACGGAAAATTGGTCTCAAAAACGAAACTCACAAATCCACACCATCCATGCAATTTCTATAGAACTATTGAACCTTATTAACCACCCATCCCATTCTCGCCTAGCTGATGTGGGACAAAGCCAATAGGGAAGGTTTATATTTGCTGCAGGATTGAAGCTGGCATAGCTATTTAAGCCCCTGCCAACTATTCATCGACAAATACATTGATACAAACTTTTCTCCACATTTTAAGAACAAACTACCTTTGTTTGTGAGGAACAATTCCTAAATGGCAATTCATCCTTCAAAGCAAATAACGTATGAAGAACCTCTTGATTGTCAGCATGGGTCTCCTTGAAGAGATTCAGTAGCTTCTTATACCACCCTTTCTCTACATGAACACAACTGGGCTTCAAAATCAAATGTTATACATATTTACCTAGAGGAAGGCATTTTAGTCGAAAGCTTCCAAAGTTTTTTGTAAAATAGTAACCTATCTGTTGATGGCACAGATCCACCTGCTCTCTGAGGTTTCTGCATAATCCCCTTAACTTATATGCTAAACTTAAGAGTTCCAATGCAGCAATGGGTGTTGATTTAGAATACCTGAAGACAGAGGGAGCTCATACATTACTAACACATATTGAAATTCATCCTGAATCCTTGAAACTTGAAACAGACTAAACTGAAAAAAAAAAAACCAAATTTGAAGTATAAGATGATCTCTTGATTGCCTGAAATATCAACAAAGTGAACAGCATAAATTAGCAGATTGAAGGGAAGGAACATGCACTTGCTCATGTTTCATCAAGTCTGTGATTTGAAAGCAGCATGCCAATGAGCTTCTAAAGATCCAGTAAGTAGCTATGTAAATCTGAGACTTTGTAACTGCCATTGCCTTGCTATCCAAAAGTACTTGTTGCAAAGGTAATCCTTCAAATTTGATAATACACTTCGTCACTTCAACCATAGTCTTAACCAGCAAGTTCAAGGCCTTAAATCGCGGCTTTAGCCAGCTTATGTCACTAGGCATATGCTTGAGTATTGCAACTGCTGCTGCGAGGTGGTCACGAGCATATAGTTGCAGTATGAGCCAAAACTCACCATAGCTTGTTGCAAATGCAGCAAGCACTAAAGCTACCTTTGCATCCCATCTGTAAGGCCCTAGCATATCAAACAAGGACATTGCCTGTGTGTGTAAATCCCCATCAACATAGCACCTGCAGTGTATCTGCAATACAGAAAATGGATTTGAATAATACAGGGAGAGAGAGAGAGAGAGAGAGAGAGAGAGAGAGAATTATTGCCTCCTGTGACATCTTATAAATGGTCTGTCCCCATGGTTCTTCAGATGCAATAGCTTCAATATTACATATATTACTGGTTCCAATGGCATCAAAACGTTGGTCCAAAACCTGAAACGGTTGTTTGATAACTAGTAAATCCTTGGGATGCAAGGTTAGGTAGTCAAATTCAGATTTTCCATGCTTAAGAAATTAATGACTATAACTCTCAACCAAGAAAGGCAGCCTGGTCCATGAAACTCCACCCGATTGCAGACTCTAGGTAAGATCACACAGCTGCAATAGAGTTCGAGTATCATAAACTCACAACAATTAACATAACTGGAAGGTACCTTAGTGGTTCTGTTGCCAATCTTTTTCTTGCTTTCATGGTTAGTTCTCTATGACAACCCTATTCAAATCGATCAAATAACATATATAATTCTTGGAATTTTATGCAGTATGCGTCATCTATGCATTATATTTCTAGCTTTTGTACTTGAGGTATTGCATAATAGTAATGCTACTTGAAAATCTATTGACCTAATTCCCAGCAACTATTGGATTAACAACAAATTCCAAGATTGAATGGGGCCTACTGTCAGTCTAACAATTGTAGTGAATTGGGTCATTAAATTAGGTCAAAGTAGCATTACTCATATAAGCAACATAGCTAGGCTGAAAGGTTGGGTTCTTACATCTAGTGTAGTGGCATAACACATGATATTTTCCGTTGCACGAAGCAGAAGCTCAGAATCAAGGTGGCGACCATCAGGGTCATGAGTGAGGAGGATGTTCCTTATCAGGAAATCATCATCCACAGATGATGAGGAACATGAAGAGAAGCTTTCAGTTGCAAGCAGGTTCATGGTCAAAGTGGATGTGAAACAGAGAAGAAGCAATCAAGCAATTAATATATAGAATGACAGCCGAAATAGGCAAGACAAGTAGCCATGCTTACCTCTGAGAGAGAGAGAGAGAGAGAGTGAGTGTTTAAAAGTTCTAAGAACACCGACCTTGAAGCTTTTCGTACAAGGAGAGCACAAAAGTAAAAGGTTCATAAATGAGGAGTCTTTAGCAGCTGACCTATGTTTTTCTCTTTAACTAATAGACTTCAAGAATCATATTCAAAGCTTTCCTAGCACTTTGTCCTAGTATACTTCCCAAAAGACGAGCATTTCCGAATTGAGGCGTAAAATGCTAATACTTAGTGATCCAAAACGAGGTTTGTTAATAGGTCACACTTCAATCTCAGTCCCATCTACATCTCTGGTCTGAGAATCTCATTCGAATATTATCTGATTATTCATACTGTATCAAATAGGATTTGGATTGAATTTTGAACATATTCCTATACAATCCAATGCAATAAAAATCATCGGAAAAATCAAAGTTAAAACAGCAACAACCCCCTTTAACACCAAAAAAACAGCCAACAACAAATATAATAAAAATCATTGATTCAAAAATATGTATCATTTCAAGAATACCCGGGTGACCGAGTAAATACTCTCAGGTTTCGACCCACTTCTACACAGTCGCTTACTTTATGTACTTCACATAGAGAATCATGAATCATGACCACATCAAGCTTAGTCTTTAAGACATTAAAAAGTAAACAAAAATACAAAAGAAAAAGAGGGTTTCTCGAAGCATTTGATTATCCCTACAGACACAAAAGCAAAAGTAGCAGGCAAAATTAGTAAGGAATGTATCAAATCAAAGAGCAGTAAACGACACTGTTTAGCTACTTTTATGGTATTGAACAGCTTCAAAAGCACTAATGGCATTCTGATAGATTTGAGTATCACTTACTTGAAGAGTTCCTCCTATTCGTGAATTCCCACTGTCAGGGAAGTTTTTGGAAATTCCATTGTGAACGTGAAGGTAAGTTTGAATCACTGGGATTTGAACGGCCTAAGAAACTGGTGGTATTGGGACAGTGGGTTAGGAGAAAATATTCAATGTAACGGTTACCCACCGAGTGTAGACAAAATATACTTCTAGTCACTAAAATATGTCTTTTATTATATATTTGATCTTCAATCTTCTAATTATGTTTATTTGCTCTCTAAAGTTTTTAATTTGTATTTAAGTGATCTAATTTCAAATGTCTGAAAATTGTGACAATTTTGGTCACTCGTTAAGCACATAGTTTTTAATTTTGTATATATTTAGTCGCACGTGATTGACGTGTGACTAGAGGGATTAATAATTTTTTTCACTATGTTTGAGATTAGACCATATAGATACAAATTAAAAATCTTATGGACTAAATAAATACAATTAAAAGATTGAAGATCAAATAACCACTACACGCATATTTTAAAACTAAAAATATATTTTACCCTAATTGAAAATAAGTCGACAAGTAAACCATATAAAATTCAATAATCTTGTATTCACTTCATATAATAATCATCTCATATAGAAAGGTGGAGTTCGTTTTATATATTTTTAAAAAATTTTATTAGATAATTACACCACATGATATTCATGATGTGGTGTAATGCCACGGGGTAACAACTCGTTTTTCTTTCGAAGCTGTTTGTGAAGGCGTTGTCACTGTAACCAGCCACACAAATCTCAAGAACAGGGACACAAACTCACACAAAGGCACACACGAATTTACTGTGACAACACTCACAAAACCATATTGAAGCTCTCTACAATTTACAAGAAACTCAAAGTAAGAACACTATCTATCTCATCAGAATGCTTAAAGCACCCCTATCCTATCTGTCAAAGGGTTGTTACACACAATCTGCCTATTCTCTAGTAGACTTGGTCAACAAAACTGCCTCTTTGTGCGATACCTGGCAAGCAGTTGCACCCATTCAGTAACTAATGTGGAATTGTCGCTTATCAACATGCACCTAGACCAGAATATGGCTAAGGATGCCCAGAACTGCCTCCTTCAGATTAGGCTCTGTATAGCAACTACATTGACTGAGTCATGCCTCAGCAACTGCCCACATCCTCCTGGTCACATGTATTGAGCAACCATGTGCCCACATTCAGCAGTCATCCTTGTCTCACGAACCATTGTGCATGTTAGGTCCAGCTCATGCCATGCAATTCGAAAACTATGCACCCACATTGCCTCAATTGAGTCCACCACATGCTGCCATACTCAGTCGGGTGGTCTCATGCTGCCATGGTCTGCACCAACGTGTTGAACCCTTAGCCGCATCACCTTGATTCCTTCTCATGGCTTGCCTTGGTACAAGGTGCCACCAAAACCGATATTATACACGCAAGTCAATTAGGGTGTGACAAACCACCCCCACTTGAAGTATCCAATGGCCCCACAAAAAACGAGCTGGTGCATGGTGCAATGCTTGTAGCCTGTGTCCCTGATATGATGGCGACCTTGGGACAATAGTAGTCTATTGCCTATGGAGGGGTGAGACAGAGAACCGAATGTTCTACTGCATATGGTGTTACTCGTTTTAAGCAAGGGTTGTTTAACGAGTCAAAGGACAACTTTGTTAAGGGTGTTCATCGAAGGAAGAAGTGTGTTGATCCTGATCAGATCAAGGAAAATTAGGACAACCTCTTGACATGGACGTCAAGTTCTTCTAGTAGGGGTGGTTTGTTACCTCTTTAGCTTTTGACTCGGTGTTGGCATAGAGCAGTCTCACCCAAAGACACCCATGCCTTAGCCAAATTGAGTTTCGCTTGAAGAAGCAAACCCTTGGTGCAATCAGTGAGTGATTGAAGCCTTATGCATGACTAAGGATGACAACGCATGCATAGGCACGTTGGGCATGACCAGTGGATAATTGAAGACCCATGCATGGCTGAGTGAGGCAACTCATGCATAGTCACAATTGGATGCAATCAGTGGGTGATTAAAGTCCCATGCATGGCTGGGGCATAACAGCTAATGCATGGGCATGTGAGCACAAGTGGGCATGCAAGCAAAGGTTAGTCGGGTGGCTTGATTTGTAGGGTAATGCTAGTTTGGAAGACCAAGCCATGGGTTGGGCATGGCTAGGCATGAAGACACAGTTAATCAGGTGTTGTGGGCTCGCAAGGAAGGCAGACACACAACATGTGAGACGGTTCCAAACAGTTGTGGCATGTGCCCTGCAGATGGTGGCGATTTCAAATGGTTACCGACATGTGCATTACATACAGGGGACAATTTTGTGTAGAATGTTGACATGTGTACATCATAAGGATTGCTGGCATGTGCAATCAGCATGCACAACAGTTACGGGCAGTTACTGGCTGAGTCAGCCAACAGTTACAACTGCCCCTTTCCATGACCAGCAGATGTGGGAGTGGCAGAGGACCTAAACCATCATCAGTAGACTATGGATGGCTTTGTGGGCAAATTTGAATTGTCATGCAATTGCTTAGATGGTTGGGCTTGTAACCGCCAATCTGAATGTTATAAATAACCATGTTTGGGTTTGTAGTGCACCAACAGAGAGTTGAACACATTTTTAAGTAGACCCTAGTTAAGTGTTCCTTTAGGCTTTTATTGAGAAAGAAAAGGTTGGACCATTGGTTTGTAAAGCTTGTGTGTTGTGTGTGAGTTTTCTTGTTTGTCCCTACTTTGTTCGTGTGTGCATTTCTGTGAGCGTTTTGAGTGCTTGGTTGAGACTAAATGTGAATCTCAGTGCCATCACGAGACAGAAATTTGAGTGAGAAATTTGACCCTGTGACATGTAACCATTACATTGCATACTTGCTCTTCGGATACATTGCATGAGTTTAATACATTACAATTGTTCCACATTAATTTTTTTTGTGTTCAAAATATTGTACGATAATTCTATGAATATGTTATCAAACATATTTTTATTGACATAACTGCTGGTGTTAATGTTGAATTTCAATGAATTAGGTAACCTAATTAGTTCATAAGATTAAGTCTAAATAGTACTAATGTAATCAAGGGGCTCAGGAAAAAAAGGGGGGGCTCAGAAGGAAAATAATTATTCTGTGAGAGAAGCAAGAAGGTCAATCTCTTTTCAAATATACAATATGCAATGTAGTTGGACTCTTATGTTGATTCGAATGAATTATTTTTTCTACAGAAGTAAATTTTTACTTACTACGCAAGAGGATAATAAATTACAAATTCTGTCTCGATAGAACATGTATTTTTATTATTATGGAATTTATAAATAAAATAGTTAATGGTGAGATTATCATTATCCTTTTTATAGGAACGAGATATCACCAAGAGTTTTAATATTTATTTTGATTCCACTAACTAACCATTAGTTAAGTTTGATGATGTACAAAACGGGTTTATGTATCACTTGTCAAGTATTAAATGAAATAATAAATGATGACGGTCAACACAGACAAAACACAGTTTAAGTGGTTCGGCCATGGTGACCTATTCCATTGTGACGGACGAAGATGACCTAAGTATTTTATTACTCAAAGAGTGTAAAGACTAGAGTGCTCATATACGAGTAAGATGTGAGAGATGCTTTTCTTGTGTAAGTGGGGTTTATAATTTATAGGGGTTTCCTAACAGATTGAAACGTCTTTCTCGTATCTAAGGGTGTTCAAATTTTCAATTACTCATAAATTTCAACCCTATCCGACTTTATTAATCGGCTACCCGAAAGAATCGGGTAAGCCAACAGAAGATTTTATTGTTATTCTGCGAAAAAATTGAATAAGAATGTAGAATACTTACAAAATTTTCGTATTTCTATCCTACATTATATATATATATATATATTAAAAATCTAAAAAGTCTAATGTTTTATTGATATTTTATGACTTTCTTGTTGTGTTTTATTATAATTGTTTATATATTATCAAATTTATTGTGTGCTTTTAGTGTTATTGGTTTATTGTGTTAGTTAAATGGTGCATATTACTTAATTAAATTATTAAAATGATTTAAAAATTAATAATTAAAAAATATGTGTTTACCCGATTTCCTACCCAATTTTTTTGGACAGAATTCAGGTAAGAATAGTATATTT